AAAAACGTTCGATATAAGCCATTTAAAAAAATATAAATGTATTCATATGTACATTAGAGTGGTCCACGAAATCCTTTTTTTTTTAATATTATTCAGTGCTCACGCAAACTTCTGTTCCTTTTGCTAAAAAATGAAAGTACATAACTTGATTTTAAAAAATATAATAAAATTTAGAGGTCGCTCAAGTCCATTTTTGTTTTGCTTAAGATTACTCGTCCTTCAATCCGTGTGCACGCGAAATTCCTCTGGAAATTTAAGGTTTGTAAAATCGTATAATATGCTTTCGAGGCCGCTGAATACAGTAGGAGAGTTATTTTTTCGATCCGGCACTTACCTTTTTAGATAATACGAATAAATTATAAAAAAAAACGAGAAAAAAACCCGAAATTGAACTTTAAAATGTGATTATTTTTTAAAAAAAATTTATTTGATTTTACGTCAATCATGATACATATAGCCATAACCTTAGCGAACAAAACGAGTCATCGCAGATGATTTTGTGTTCATTACTTCTCGAGATATCGGCAAATTATTGAACCTGAATCTAGATGCGTGGCTGATGCCTGTATTTAAAAAACGTACCGCTTTAAATTTTCGGACTTTGCAAATTTGTTCGAGGTGCTATTTGATACTTTCAAGGTCGCTGAGTGTGCTGAAATAGTTTTTTTTTTCGCTACGTCCCAAATATCGAGAAGCAACCAAAAAAAACACGTAAAAATATAAAACTTTCTCGATTACAAAAGGGGATAAAACAATTTTTTTTTAATTTCAAGAGGATAAACAAATTGTTTTTTCGCTAAGTCCCAAATGTCGAGAAACAACTTAAAAAAAACGTAAAAATATTAAAAATATAAAATTTTCTCGATTACAGGAGAGGATAAAACAATTTTTTTTTAATTATTCAGACTCACGAACATTTGTGTTCCTTTGACCTAACATGAAAGAAATTAAGACGTCGCTGGTAGATATTATTGAATTAGTTTATATTTTATTTTCCAATGTTAAAACAAATTGCAAGAAACCTTAAATTATGGGATGTTATTGTCTAGTTTTCAACAACTTGTAGTAAACACTGTTTCTGATTATTACTCTTTATGATAACTAAATGCAACATGATTAAACAATTTGTTTCACAAAATTTAAACTCTTGGCATAAGGATCGATATGACATAAACCCCATTTAGGTTACTAAGGTAAACATATACCTCTTCAGTTATCGAGAAACATTTTTTCCGTTTTTTTTTTAATTTTTTACGTTTTTTTTATTTTTTTTAATATCTCGCGACCTAGCGAAAAAAAACTTTTTCTGCACACTCAGCGACCTTGAAAGTATCAGATAACACCTCGAAAAAATTTGCAAAGTCCGAAAATTTAAAGCGGTACGTTTTTTAAATACAGGCATCAGCCACGCATCTAGATTCAGGTTCAATAATTTGCAGATATCTCTAGAAGTAATGAACACAAAATCCTCTGCGATGACTCATTTTGTTCGCTAAGGTTATGGCTATACGTATCATCATTGACGTAAAATCAAATAAATTTTTTCTATGAAATAATCACATTTTAAAGTTCAATTTGGGGTTTTTTTCTCGTTTTTTTTATAATTTATTCGTATTATCTAATATGGTAAGAGCCGGATCGAAAAAATAACTCTCCTAGTGTATTCAGCGGCCTCGAAAGCATATTATAAGATCTTACAAAACTTAAATTTCCAGTGGAATTTCGCGTGCGCACTGATTGAAGGATGAGTAATTTTAAGCAAAACAAAAATTAACTTGAGCGACCTCTAAATTTTATTATTTTTTGATGCTTTCCATTTCTAGACAACCGGTCAGGTACGAGCAAGATTTTTAATTCCGACCAAACTCAAATACATTGTTTGTTGGTCCAAATAATGAGGCACGTATTTTTTCTTTTGGCTCGGAAAAATTTTTCGACCGAATTAAACGCGATTTTGTTTTTCAGGGAAAAATCGATTATTCGAATCGACAGNAATGTCAGTAATTCTTGTCACTTCAAGATAGAATGATATAATTATTGATTTTCATTATTTAACAATAAACAAAAAGTGCAATTTTTTTTTTTTATTTAATTTCTCAAAAAGTGTATTTTCTTTTTCTCTCAAACTTTTTTTACCGGGAAAGGGACACTTTGAGCTACAATCAACCCAAATCTCTAATAGCGAAGATTTTTTTTTCTGAGTTATGATTTTTTATAGAAAATATACGTTTTTGTCGTACATACTGCAGTATTCTTATAATGTTTATCTAAATGGAGCATATGTATGTAATATATCAGCAAAAAGTACAACCNAAAGAGACACTTTGAACTACAATCAACCCAAATCTCTAATAGCGAAGATTTTTTTTTCTGAGTTATGATTTTTTATAGAAAATATACGTTTTTGTCGTACATACTGCAGTATTCTTATAATGTTTATCTAAATGGAGCATATGTATGTAATATATCAGCAAAAAGTACAACCGTGATCATTTTTTGTGTATCAAATAGATATTAGAACGCACTTTCCACCATACAGTTTCGATTATAAAAAGCGGGAAAATGTGATTTTGTATTTCGAAACTGTATGGTGGAAAGTGTGTTCTAATATCTATTTGATACACAAAAAATGATTTGCTGATATATTACATATATATGTTCCATTTAGTTAAATAATATAAGAATATTGTAGTATGTACCGCAAAAACGTATATTTTTTATAAAAAATCATAACTCAGAAAAAAAAATCTTCGCTATTAGAGATTTGGGTTGATTGTAGTTCAAAGTCTCTTTCCCGGTAAAAAAGTTTGAGAGAAAAAAAATACACTTTTTGAGAAATTAAATTAAAAAAAATTTGCACTTTTTGTTTATTGTTAAATAAAAAATTTTAAATAATGAAAATCAATAATTATATCATTCTATCTTGAAGTGACAAGAATTACTGACATTTGAGTAAAAACATTGTTGGAATCTATTAAATTTTGCCAAAGTTATGGGCATTTTAAAAATACATTCTCTCTCTCAATTCGAATAATCGATTTTTGCCTGAAAAACAAAATCGCGTTTAATTCGGCCGAAAAATTTTTCCGAGCCGAAAGAAAAAATACGTGTCTCATTATTTGGACCAACAAACAAAGTATTTGAGTTTGGTCGAAATTAAAAATCATGCTCGTACCTGACCGGTTGTCTGGAAATTGAAAGCATCTTTTTAAAATCAAGTTATGTACTTTCAGTTGAATTCAAATCTGCACTAAAATTTAATTAGGCTGTAAAACTGCATGCCAAATTTCAGATTAAGAATTTTGCAAATTTTATGTAAATTAGTTGAAATTTTTGGAATTTTTCAAACTTTTGTACAAGGTTTGAAATTCGGACCTACATGGTTTTTCTTAAGTAGATATCGAACGATTTGTACATTTTGACAGTCGCAGAGTGGTTTCGTCTAAAAATTTGTATCAGCTCAATGAGAAAATTTCCAAACAACCTCACTCTGCGCGGTGTCCTTGAACCAGATTCAACTCAATCGGTCTGGAACGATGGAATTTCCGATTAGACAATTTTGGAGGGGTGTTACCGAGTTGGAATACGTGAAGTTCAAAATCATGGCAAGTGCCGCTTTCAAAAACGGTAACTTTTTCGATTTTCAGCCGATATTTCGCATTTAAGTATAGGATAAATAAGACTGTATATGAGTATTTTTTTAAATATCGAGCTCGAAACGCTAAAATAACGTAAACGACATTTTCTCAAAATTTTCTGTTTGTTCCAGAAATATTCCTTGAGCATTCAGATGCATTTCTGCATAAAAAATAATAATAATTTAAAAAGAAAGTCGCTTACGTTATTTTGGCGGTTAGGGCTCGATATGTATAAGCATGTATGGCCTGTGGGGAATTTCGTAGTCAACAATACAATAGCCAACTTTTAGTCCACTACTAACGGCCTACTTTCATCTAGCTTCAAAAAAATTAACTATAAATACTTATTATTTTTTGGGTGTTCTTTTATTGGTTAGTTTTTTTCACTTATAATATAAACCATATACCAAGTATTTTCATGGAATGCGTAAAATAGTTTTTATTGTATTAGTCAAATGCGTTCCTTTAAGCTCAGATGGACTGTATGCAAGAAACTCGTCTTCTATTGATTTCTGAATTTCCCCTGTTGTAGATAACCTCGAATCTCTATGAAGGTCGCTCTACAATTTTAAGCTCAAAATATTTGGTGAACCATGGGAAAATCATTACGATGACAACATTTAGAAAACACGTGTTGACTTCGGAACCGTTCTATGTTTCACTTGCACGGAAATGACCTTACCACACTTGCATGTGTATCTAGGCATGCGCTTTCGCATTTATTGGATTTTATAAAAGCTATGTGACTATTAAATAATCAAATTTAACAAAATTTTATAATTTCTATCTTCCAACTAAATTTAAGGAAAAATCCGGGCCCGTTGGGAAACAGCCCCACACTATATGCACATATATGTATAAATATGTATACAATCGACTTGTATATATGTAAATATATATACTTATTCATCGAGAACCTTATCGAAAAACCTACCTGAAAATCGAAAAAGTTACCGTTTTTGAAATCAGCACTTGCCATGATTTTGAACTTCACATGTTCGAACACTGGAACACCCCCCTAAAATAGTCTAATGGGAAATTCCATCGTTCCAGACCGATTCAGTTGAATCTGGTTCAAGGACACCGTGCTCTGTATCTGTCAAAATGGGGAAATCGGTACAGATGTACAAATCGGGTGAACCCTGCTTTAGCTAACGAGCTATACTTTCATAAAAAAATAAACCTTGAATAAACAATGAAAAAATTGCCAAAACTTGTTAAAATGTCGCGTTCCTATTTATACCTTCGGGCGTCCACCAGGTTTCTCGCAAATTCATAATTTTTTAGGTGTTTTAAACATTTTTAATTTTAATTTACTCGCACTGAATTGTATTGTAACATAATTTTTCATTTGTTTTTTAGGAAGAACACCAGTGGCAACTCAACTCCCTCTGGTATACGCACTCCTCGAAAAGGTTCTGCAGATCCAACAATAAGCTCAACTTTGCGATCTCAAACACAACGAGGATCAACGCCCGTGAACAAGCGTGAACCATTTCGGCTTTAAAACTTTTAAGACCACTTGTCGTAAATGCAGTAGCTGAAAAGAACTCCACTTGTCATTTCACTACGGTATTATGGTTGGCATTAAAGTTGAAAAGTACCAATCTAAAAAGACAACGAAAAATTTAGTAACATAATATTTTCATAAGGAAATTTACAATTTGCTACTGATAAATTTAGCAACTTTCTTGTACTTTTATCTTTTTAACACCGAATTTAAATGTAACCAAACAAAATTCGGTTTTCACACGATACAAATAACAGAACCGCATGTTTTCGTATTTAGTTTAAACTTTTTAGTTTTTGTTTTATTTAAACCACGAACTATAAAACAAATTTGTAGTCTGCGCATAAGAACACCTACCAGTCTATTATCTTATTCAAACTTTAAGATATAACTAGTTTCATATACATACATATTATTAAGTGTACAAACAAGTTTTATATTCTCGTCTTATGTAAAGTTAATACATAACTAATATTTTTAACGTACTAAGCTCCTATGTATTCTTATCTGATTTGATTAAAGAACTAATTTGTTTTGAATCAGTATATTATGTTTTTCTTGAGGTCGGGTTGTGCCGAAGCTTATTGGTGTAATACCAGCGGTACGCGGTGTAACGACAAACGGCGGCCAAAACAGTAAACGTGAAAAAGTAAACGGTGTCGGTAACGTCAAAAACGCTGTCTAAACGGAGATTAGTGTCAACCAGACTTTGAGCAACCGGCCCTAAATATGTATGGAAAAAGGTGAAGTTCTGATTGTGGGTGGAAGTATTAAATTTAATTTAATTTAAATCAAACTTGCTCCTACATTTTTTTCAGCTTCAAAGTATAAAACCGAAAAAATTTCGAGATCGGGTTACTGCAAGTTGGTCAAATTTTAATGAAACATGACTTACAGCTTTATTTTTTATTGAATAAAGCACTAAAATGAAATGAAACTTATATAATTACTATGGTTATGGTTATGGCTATGGTATGGCACTACTAATTCAGCCTTTAAGATTAAGTGGGATGTATCTCGAAAATAGTTGCAGCTTAAAACTCAACTTTATCTCGACTATGCTATGGCTTAAATTTCCATATGGTTGCATTCTATAGGTTCGCTCTTCCACATAAATATGTGTCGGCCGAGCTTCTCCTCCGATTTGTGGCTTGCGCCTTGATGTCGCACAAAGGGGAGAGACCTACAGTTTTATGTACGCTCATATTCTTAAAAAAAGTAGCTTTAAAATAGGTTTATAAGTTGAAAAAATATACGAAAACGTCTTTACGCCTACTTTATTTTTTATGAATAAGACCATTATATTACATTCGTACGACAGCCGGTTCTACGTACTGGAATTACTCGGGTTTTACTCGACCAAGGGCTGTTTCGGCGATCTAACACCGTTTAGGTCGGCGAAATATTTAAAGCGTTGGTCGTCCATAGGGCTACATCTGCTACATACTCTTCTGCTCAGGGTTGGCATCGAGTCAAACCTTGGGCCAAACACCTGCTGCGTGTGCCAGAGACGGCTACACCACAACTCCACCTCAATCGGGTGTAATGCTTGCAACGGCTGGAGTCACCTCCGAGTCTGCTGAGGCTTAAGCACTTACCGGCAGTGGACCACATCACTTGTGGCTCCCTGTTGCTCAACGGGATCTTCCTTCACAGCACACCCAAATCCGCCTGAGCAGCTCAACACAAACACAACAGCAGCACAATAGACCATACAACAGACACAACCGCATTACCACCACCACGCCGCCGCCAACAACTCTTCGTTCCTCTAACAATCTGCACAGTGTGTCAGACCAGGATTTTCCGTAATGTGCAAGTGCAACACCTGCCTTGGCTGGTGCCACTTTAGGCATGTTCAGGTCTGCGCACCACGCGAGATTGGACGAGGAACTTCGGGGGCCCATGTTGCGCTGCCCGGTCGCAAGTTTTTACTGCGACGCCTCCCACTACCACCACAGGGCGGCACCTTCCACATAAGCACCCACAGCCAACGGCGGGCAGGCAGCACCCATCACTCGCACTCCACATAACTTTAAGTGTCCGTATTCACACGAAGCTCCTACAATTCAACAGAACATGCTACAGAGAAAGATCGAGTATAACCGTCTTTATGGGCTGGTATGGAATATAAATAGCTGCGGTCCAAGAGACGAAGTTGCACAGCAATTCAACATTGTTGAATTACGCCGGATACAATGTTCACCATGGAGATCGCGAGCAAAATAAAGGTGGTGGCGTAGCACTCATCACACGCCACACCGTACAGTATCGCCGCATCGAAGCAGGCATCAACCGCAGGGATAACATCCTAGCATCTCGGGGTATTTCTATCCGGTCAGGCGATGTCAAGCTCGAAATATTTAACGTTTATATACCCCCCGTTACCAGCTGCTAGGTGCGCTCCACAGAGGTGAAAACCGTATGGTAGTTGGCGACCTTAACGCGCACCACGATCTTTGGCAGTCAAGCCTATAAAATGATCGTAGGGGAACACACTTGGCTAAGCAGATAGACGATTTAACATTCTGTGCAATGAACGACGACGCACCCACCAGGATTATGGGCAGCCGATGCAGCTCGCCAGACATAACAATTGTAAGAGCTGGTCTAACAAACAGCATATCGCGACGACCTATGCTGACCTTAGCATCAGACCATCTGTCCATAGTCATCTCGATTGATAAACCTGCTGACCTTGCTTCCGCGGATCACGGAGCCTATGTAAACTTTTCGAAAGCTGATTGGAACGGCTTCGCGGAGTTTACTGAAAGCATCTTCCCTGCCCTATCCACACCAATTAACGTTGACGTAGGTGAGCGTAAGTTCTGCAGCTCGCTTCGTCCTAGCCGGTTGTATAACGGAGCTCCGTCCGAACTTTCCTGCTGAAAGGGCTGCTCTAGGCGATGAGCGTGAGAACCTTCGTCAGGCAGATCCCGCAAATCCCCGCATCAGGAGGAGATTCAGCAGCTTGTGAACGAACATGAGCGGAAGAAGTCGGAAGACCATTTCAAGACTTGCAACTTCGCCTCTGGTGTGAGCAAGCGTTGGTCAACCGAAAGGTCATTGTCCAACCCGACGAAGCGTGACGGCAGAGTCGAAATCTTTTTCGGCAATCGCGCTTCGTCGGACGCGGAGCGATTCGCGAGTTATTTGATCCGACAATTTGCACTGTATTCTCCGGCGGACAAAGTCAAACATAGACACCCCTATTGCGAATGTCGACTGGCAGTAGATAAACGACTATTAAGCGATTGTCGATATTCGATGCTATTGTGAGTGTCGCTTAGTCGTTCAATTAGCGACTGTGAATACTTTTTAATAGCTCATCCTTCTATTGCTGTTTTTTAGTCGTTGGAGTTTGCGTTTATAAAATTTACATAAGAAAGTGTTACTTTAATGGATAAAAAGTAAATCAATTAAACTGGAAGTTCTAAAAAATTGTGAATTATACATATGTATGTATGTGTCTGAATTACAGATCAAAAATTGTAAGCAACAAAAGGCAACTTGCGCGGTTGGTCGAGCTGATGCAGGAGAATGAGGACATAGGCAAAGGAATTTTCGGAAAGAGTAGGGGCGGTAGCTCCGCTTCTATTGTGAAAGATATCCAATATATCTTGTGCACATAACTCCGGCTACGTCATCCACAGTATTTTTGCCCAGAAACAACATAAAGTTTCCAAAAAATTGCATAAATTATTAATCAACTAGTGCTCGGAAATTTGAAATCTTTATTTAAACTAAAGTTTAATTCTTTCACTACACTTGTATGTTAAAGTTTTTAAACTCGGGTCACGCGTTTGGACACAAATACCCAACATCATTGTACAAATAGCTAAACCGTACCGTATTTCTTAAACTTCCATAAATTTTATTAATGAGGAAAACAGCTTTTCCTGCAAGTCCTTTAAAACCTACAAACCGTGAAGCATCTGGAACGTAACTCCTATTCATAAAATTCACATGTACATACACTTCATCTTCCAACTCCAAGGGGTCCGACGAATTTCGTAATTCCCTCCTTGCTTTAGCCAACTCTACTAATCTATTAGCTTCCACATCACCTTCCTCATCACTAAACCATATTTAAACTGTATCAATTTTTTAAATTTTATAATAAAAGCAATTATTTTAAAAATTATGTAAATGAAACACTAAGGAAACAAATGTAAACAAACACACAGCTGTTTGCAATTCAGTCAACCATTCACAATAGTACAATTTTTTATCGATCAAGTTACATAATAGCAAAATAAAAGATGATCGACTCGATCGACAAATTTCTATTCTACTGCCAGTCGACACTCCAATAGGGGCCAGAGTGACCAGAAATGTGCACAAACTGCCAACAACAAGTGCGCCTTTTTTCATTTGCGGCGAAGCTCAGGTAGGTATCGGGGAGGCGAAAGCCTCCAAAGCCATGGGACCCGACGGAATATGCATGTTGATGCTGAAAAATTTGGTTGCTGCGGGAGTATACTATTTAGCCAAGGTTCTCAAGCTGTCAATGGCCACTCTCGTCATTCCAGACATCTGGGGGGAGTGTTCCCACTGCTCAAACCGGGGAAACCAGCAAACAAAGGACAGTCTTATCGCCCGATAACCCTTCTTTCCCCGGTAGCGAAGAAGTCTTGCTACTCCCGTATTTTACAAACCACTTGACCCCAGCGAAGTATCAGCATGGTTTCCGTAAAGTGCACAGCACAACAACAGTACTTAATGTCATAAATACTTAGATAAAACGTTGCCTAAACCGCAACCTCCCTGGGAGAGAATTGTTTTGATAGTGTTGGATCTGTCAAAGGCGTTTGATGCCGTCAGTCACCCCACGCAACTAGAAGACATAGAGGCCTCCTCTCTTCCACAGAGACACAAACGATGGTCTGTGAATTATCTGAGTGGTCGAAACTCGTCGGAAGGGTTAAGAGACAAATCGAGCAAACCGGAAAATAAAACAGGGGGTTCCACAGTGTGGTGTTTTTTCCCCATTACTATTCAACTTTCATATTTCTAAGCTCCCTCAACCACCAGAGGGAGTCTCGATTGTCCCTTTCGCTGGCAATTGCTCGATAATGACGTCCGGGAATGGAATTATAATACATATAAGTATGTTTTTTTTTATTTTTTTTTGTATTTATTACTTATTAATGTTGAAGTTAATAATATATGTAGCAAATCTGGCATCATCCATAGTATAACGACGTAATGTCAACTCTTTATATTACACTTTTTCTTCCTTCTTCTACCGGTTGAACTCTAATAAATCAGAACACATTGAAGTAAGTCTCTGAGTTTCCTTTTGCATATCGCACTGATTTTGATCAGGTTATGGCCCCAGAACGCTTCCACTGCGCAGGTGGAGTGCCCATATAATCGTAGTCGCTAAGTTAATGACTAAAACCTTGAATTAGAAGCAAAATTATCAGTTTAGCGAATCAGCAATCCACATGGTGTGTCGCACTAATTTTCCACGAAAACCCCTTAAAGTGCACAGCGAAAGAAGGTGTACGACAACTGCGAAAGTGTTTGCTAGCAGCAATAG